CAATATTCAGCTGCTACTGAGTCTGACTAGTTGGCTCTTACACGTTTATGAAAGTGACTGAGGAGGAAATGCTATTTTTGGACTCCCCTTTGCTGGAAAAATATCATGGAAGAAAGACTTGTGGTTTGCTGTAACGAAGCCAGTAGATGTGGGGATAGTACTAATGAAGCAGTGTCTTGTTCCTTTTCCAGAAATGTGTCTTAGTTTGGTTCTTTCTTGGTAAGCAGAGTGCTGAACCTCATTTCCAAGTTCAAGGACAGTGTTGACAAATGCAGGCTGTTAAAGAATTTTGCATATTGTAGTGTAACTTAAATACCAGGGAATGTAAATGACCTTAAAGCTGCAGTGTCTCCAGTGAACAAACACAATGCACATGCTCAGGACTGGGAGTGTGTCAGACTATGTAAAATATCCAGTGTCCCTACTTAGAGTGCAAACTTGAAGGAGTGAAAACAGGAGAATCGCATTGCAGAATCAAAGCTTTCATGAAATGCTTTCATGTTCTAACCAGGAATTAATTTATTCACCTAGTTTCTGAAAGGTCAGTGTTTACTTTGTACTTCAGAGAAACAAGTCAGCAACACGTTGCTTCATTTTTCATACACCCCTTGACTTGTTCTTCCCCTTTTAAGAATACAAATTAATAAAGGGCAAAATCAAGAGAGAAACGTAGGTACAACTGTATTGTGAAAACATCAAACCCTTAATCCATAGCAACTGCGTGTTTCTGAGCAGATAGACTGGGAAGACCGTGGAAGCCTTAATACAATCAGAACATTAGTTGAACACATCAAATAATTGTCTAAGATTAGTATCGTTTTTAAAACTGTTTTGTAAAGTGTGGTTCAAGCAGGATGCAAAAATGTGCAATTAATTTGTCTTTTCTCCCTTTTTTTTTAAGCTGTTCTTTAAGATTCTCACTCTAGGAACACTTTCTTCTTCTACTGAGGCTGCTTCTGTGAGAAGCAAGCTACTCCATGTTAATGAATCCAAAATGATCTTTCTCTGTAGCCTTCTGCAGCAACAATTGGTGCCCTTTATGCAGTGATGGTAAAGAAAATGTATGATATAAGCAGTTTTAAAGAGCAATTTGTGCATAATAAATTGGGAATGATATAAATTTCATAGCAACATATTTGTTGTGATCAGTCTTAATCTTTGGGCTTTTTTTTAATGTATTGGGTTTTAGGGATCTTCTAGTTACCTTTAGAACTTCAATTTTTTTTAATTCTGTCCTTATCTTACACTAGGCCCATCTTCTGTCACAGCTCCTCTCTGGTGATGAGCCACACAGACACCTTTGTCATTTGAAAAAATAATCCTCAACTCCTGAGCAAAAGTACAATTCTCTGATTCTTTTTTTTTTTAATTGGGGTTTGGTGTTTTTTTTTTTAAGTAGGGAGATAAGCAGTGAAAAATAGGCTTAAACTCCCCTAAAAGCATGAAAAGGAGTTTCTAAAATCTGAGGAATGATAATATATTAAAGGAGCATTGTGCCTGTGCCACGTTCTTCTGATCAGCTTGTGTCTGGAAGGTTGAATGGCTGACTGGCAAATCATGACATGTCTCAGCTGGCTTGAGCGTACTGAATCTTGCACTGCTTTTTGTGGCGATAGATATTCTGGGCCGATTCCCTTTCCTGATGAGTTGTCCCTGAGGAAGACACAGGGTTCAAGTCTCCCGAGAGCTGACCTGCATCTACGGTAGAGCTCACGCACAGCGCTCTTGAGTTACCCGTGTCTGTCCTCGCCTGGTTTTCCCATCCAGCCCCAGCATATGCAGCTTCCCAGTGCATCCCTCGCAAGGAGGAGTTTCTAAGCAGCACCTCAGCCTAAGGTCTGGAGGCAGCACTTGTGTGAATGCCACCAATTCATGTGTTAATTGGCTTCCATTTGGTTCCCGTCCTATTTTCTAAGCAAAAAACAGGAGTAAGCAGGTGCTACTCTCAAGACTTTTCCATAACAAATGCTGTTGTTTAAATGGGGACCATAGATCTAGGAAGTTAGGTGGCTTTTTCCTTTTTCTTGTGTTCTCTAAAAATTGTGAACGATTGTAGTAAAACTTTCAATACCCTGGAAAGAGCTCTTAATTCAGCTGGGATGTTAAAAGAATGTTCATGCTACCTGGAAGATTTAATACTTAATGCTGTCCCTTGCTTTATATGTACATCATACCTTAAAGTGATTTTTCTTTTATCCCAAGAATCTCAAGTAACATTTAGACCATGCTGCTATTTTACCTTCTAAATAGATACACAAAATTAGTATTTAAACAATAAAATTTTCCTCTCTTTGAAGAGGGGCAGGGAGAAGGACGGTGAGCATGAAGGCACTCTGGCAGCCAGGTTAGAGCAAGTGTGTTCACTGAAAAGAATTAGGGAACTGTCATTTTCTTACAACAAAACTATGGAAAAATGCAAAGTGTGGGTGTGGTGTGTACTATTTGCATTGAAACAATGTAATTTGTCTTTTTCTTTTTTTTTTTTGCTTTTCCTGACTTTTTATTTCAAAAATTGTACAGTCTTAGAAAAAAAGTCTTTTCTGTTAATATATTTGCGATTCATTAAAGGATGTGGAAAATCCAAATAAACTACTTTTAAAAGCAGGCTTATCCCCAGGTCCTTTGGGTCAGTGTTGGGATTCATCCTTCAGGAGGTGGACAAGTGCAGCAGAGCTGGAGAGAGGTTTAAGGACACACCTCGGGGTATGTGGGGGCTGTTTTCTGTCCTGCTGGTGATCCTGGTGTCACCTGTGAGTCTGCTGCAGGCTTCCAGCGAAGTGGGCTGCAAATGTATCTTCCTGGGCTGGAATTTTGGGTGAGGTGTGGGGTGCTAGACCTGATGTTAGGGCCATGCAGCGAGGTTTTGAAAAACGTGTCTGTTTGTTGTCAGCTTACAGCCTGCAGCTCGATGAGATTCAATAAGCCCCCAGGTATGGAGCAGATGTTTTAATTATTTTTTATTCTGCCTTCCATAGCAGTTTATAACATTGTTTGTGGCTGCAACTGTTGTCAGCTCAGCACAGAAATGATTACAGACTTTGCTATACTTTCAGACCTGGAGGAAAAGCTTGCCAGGAAGGCTGAGGCTCATAGCTGTATAGGAATTCCTCTTGCTGCATATAGTCATCTTGGATTAAGGCTTTTAGCGCTTATTTTTGTCCACTCTATTAGCCTAATCCAGTAATTTTTCTTGAGAGCCAAGTTTGGCTGTAAAAGTGACACTGAACTCAACCCCTTCCTACACCCAGTTGCCTCCCCCCCCTTTTTCTTCCC